TTGTGTCTTATTTCTCAAGGTGAGCACTAAAGAATTATAAAAGTGGCAAAAACTCAGCCATTGTTCGGTGCTGTCGAATGACATTCTCTCTCGGGGCGAACGAGCAAGCAAGCAACCAAGTCAGAAACTCCAACCCAGTTTGTTTTTGTCTTAAAGGAGCAAGAGGAAACTGGGACTGACGGAAAAAGGTGTGCAGAGGGCGATGGGAGATTCATGTTAAGACTAACAACCAATCCGCCATTTATGAGGGAGAGGTTGATGTCTTTTAAACCTGAGTTAAAAACTGTTTATTTCACCTGATTTAGACTGTTACGTAGATTATGAAGAAAATTGTTTCACTTTTGCGTATTTTTATCATTCACCATATTTTCGCCCTTTTTTAGCATCGATGGTTGCCCCTGACGTGTGGCTGTCCTTTTTGACCAGAAAACTTCCATCAGAACAGAAAGACAAGACAAATCTAACTATCTACGGTGGTTTGGTCACTGCTTCCTTCATATTGGGCAGTATCAGGGCCTACATTTTCTTTTTGGTTTGTCTAAGAAGCTCTGAGCGGCTTCATGACAAAATGGTTGTGGCTCTTTTAAAAGCGCCGGTCCTTTTTTTCGATTCAAATCCTGTGGGTAGAATCCTGAATCGATTCTCTAAAGATGTGGGTAGCATGGATGAGTTATTACCATTACAGTTTCTAGCTTCAATTCAGTTGGCATTGCTGTTGCTCTCATCAGTTATCGTTCCTTCTGCTACAAATCCTTGGGTTTTGTTTGTTACCGTTCCAGTGACGGCCATGATTCTTTACTTTGCAAGATTTTACTTGAAGAGTTCCAGAGAACTAAAAAGGTTAGAGTCAATATGTCGAAGCCCAGTCTTCTCTCACGTATCAGAGACTCTTGATGGACTGGACACAATTCAAACAAGAGGTAGACAGAGAGATTTTATGGACAAATTTCACAAGTAAGTTCGTGCAACTTTCCAAGTGAGCTGGGAAAGTAAAATCTCAAACTCAATTCAGGCTGAGACGCAAAACTTTCACAGTGCAAGGTTGTGTTTGGCATCTCGAATCATCATCCGTAAAAGCCCCTATCTCCTTCCTCCTTCCTTCCATCATAGCCTCTCCCCCCCCTCCCTCCCCCCTCCACCTTCCTCTTACAACGCTTTAAAAATTGTAGACATGGAATGCTTGGTTGATTGGGGCACTGGATTCGGTATTCAGTCCCAGCCTCAAATTCGCCCCTCTACCTGATAACTTTTTTTCCTCGGCGGTCTCGTGCTTACTATTCTGCTACGTCGTTTTTTTTTTTTCCAATTTACATTTCGTTTACAAAATTTCGTTCATCATGGTGATGGCACCCTTTGCGCAACGCTTAAAGAACTTGCTGCGCAGATTTGGCATTTGAACTCGAGATGATTTACTTTAATTTTTTCTTTCCTTACGGACAGTTACCAAGACACTCACACCCAGTCCTTTATCATGGTGACGGCGAGTGGCAGATGGTTCGGTGTTCGTCTGGATGCAATAATTTCTCTTTTAATTGGCTTGGTTGTCTTAGTGGTAGTTTTAGTATCTCAAGATGCCGGTACGTAAAGTTCTAACCAAAGTAACTGCACCGTTACTCGCTCATGTACAACCAAAAGCTGCGATAATCCATGTGATAATTCTGTGTAAAGAATCTTTCCGTGTGTAGCGGGGAGACAAAAACAAGTCGTTGTAGCCCATTTCATCACTATCTTTATGAGGACGAACTGGGACTAGTTTAATTTTAAAAAATGTTTTTTTAAAGTAATTTAGTCTATCACGCGAGTAGCGTCGCGGTAGCAGGTAACCGCGACATGCTGTGTCGTATCCAGTCGTGCATAGTTTTACCGTTAAATTTTTGGTAATTTTTTCTGCGTGACTTGAAGGAAATCAACCGTTAATTTACAAATTTTTTTTCTATTTAGCTTCCGCTGGGCTTTCTCTCGCTTACCTCATTCAAACAGTGACCCTGACGCAATATGCCGTCAGAAAATCATCAGATGTCGAGAATTTTATGACTTCGGTTGAACGAGTTATTACCTACACTAAGCTTGACTCTGAGCCTGGATACCAAGTGGACACACTTCCCCCGGAACACTGGCCATACGAAGGAAATATCACATTCCGCGATGTGTCGATGACGTATTACCCAGGAGGGCCTAAAGCGCTGAGGAACATCAGTCTTGACATCAAAGGAGGCTCAAACATAGGTGTTGCAGGCCGCACGGGCGCCGGCAAATCATCTTTTGTCGCAGCTCTTTTGCGCATGCCCGACCCCGACGGAGAGATTTTGGTGGACGGAATTCAGATAAAGAATATCAATCTCCGAGCAGCTCGCGGATGCATCTCCGCTCTTGGCCAAACTCCGGTGCTTTTCAGTGGATCATTGAGGAAGAACCTGGATATTATGAAGCGCTTCCAAGATGCAGATCTGTGGCGAGTCTTAGAGGATGTGCAACTGAAAGATTTCGTACAAAGTCTTGAGGGACAATTGGATTACGAATTGCTGGAAAATGGAGCAAATGTCAGTGTAGGAGAACGGCAGTTGATTTGTTTGGCTCGTGTTCTGTTGCAGCAGAACAAGATCATCATCTTGGATGAGCCCACTGCACACGTGGATCCAGCAACAGAAGAAACAATCTGGAGAGTGGTGCGAGAGAAACTGAAAGACTCCACAATAATAACTATAGCTCACCGTCTGAACACCATCCGACACTGCGACAAAGTATTTGTTTTCAAGGAGGGAGGGGTGTTTGAGTCTGGAAAATTTGACACATGAAGACTGAAGCGTTTTATAACTGATATGGCACGGTTTTTATAAGTAACTAGTTATGATTAGTATCCTTTCATTTAGTGTGTGGTTTCGCTGAATCAAAACCGAAGTATTTACTATGGCCACGGTCTAGTCTCAAAAAGAGGGAACTGAGAGGGAATTTTTTTAAAAGTTATAATCGATATTTAGAGAGACATCGAAAAGCGGTGCAGCGTTTTGAGTAGTGGCATTGGGAAGGAAGGAAACTGTCCTTATACTTCCTCTGAGTGTTACTTCGCGAAAAGCGATCCAGATGAAACCTGCAAATTTTGTTCAAATCAATTTTGCACTGAGCTTGCGATAATTTCAAGGCCAAAAAATTGGGTATTAGTCCCACACAATTAAAGGTAGGATAGAGTGTTTCCGCCCTGTTTTACGCCCGCCTCTGTAAGTAGTCACCTGCTTGTTTTGCAGGCTAGGAAAACCGGTTTAAGTTTACTGTCAGCCTTCTGGGGAAAGTGATTTTAATCAAAATCATCTTACCGAACTGCAGCTTTTCCGAAGTTTCTTTCAGCATTTAAAAATCCTCCGCAAATACGAAAATCAGAGTGAGGTGAATCAAACCATTTGAAACTTTCCTCCCATTTAATTTTTCAATTAAGCCTTATTTTGATGTAATTTACCTAGTTTCCCTTCCTATATGCCTTGTAATTATATAAAATGGAGCCTTTGGCCATGCAGTAAAGGAGAAATTCTGCAGTCGAGCTTTCTTTGGTAGTCTTTTAAGATTAGTGTCAAGTACTTTAGTTCACCGAAAAGAGCAAAATACTTCAATCCAGTTATTTCACATCAGAAACGTCATGTTTTCACAACTTTTCCCAAGTGCTATAGAATCATCTTCAAAACGACCAAAAAAAATTTAGAAACCTTAGTCGGATTAGCAGACTATGAACAAACTTTGTTCAACAAGAACCAGGATTAACAACTACGAAAGATAGTCATCTTAATCCTTTCACTCCCAAGAATTCATCTGTAATTCTCCTTACTGTCTGCCATACAACTCTTATGATGTTACTTTGGAGATTTTGGTATTGGATCAATTAATTTTTCCTCAAGTGATTTTTTTTTATTCTCATCACTTGTCTACTTAATATCGTATTGATACTTTTAAGGAGAAATTCTGTCTTGGTCACTTATACTTCAGTGGTCTCCTATTCCTCATAAAAACCTTCATCTTCTGATTCATCAAAGTTGTTATTATCATGATCTTCTATCCAAAGCTGCATCAACTCCTCAATTTGGAGATCGGATTCGTCAAGCTCGTTCCCGTAAGCCTCAAGCGCCAGAACACCAAAACCAATGAAAACGCTCAAAGCAGCAGCAGCGAGAAATTTAGGATTACGGTGTCTTGCAAAGTGCTCAGAAGCAAGAACGGCATAAACCGTGCCATATCCAAAATGAATGAAAACACTAGGATCAGTGGTTTCGGGACGATCAGGTAAAACACCAGCAAGAACAGGATGAAGAGCAGGAACAGTTCCATCATCGACAAGGACACCTTCACTATCAATCATGTGAGGAACAATTCTGTATGAACCTGGAGCGACATAACCATCAATCCCAGCAGCACAAACCTCAGCCATGTCAGCGAGAAAATTATGCACCAAGAAGGGCACCTGCTGAAAACTTGAAGCAACAAGACGATTCCCAGAGTCAATGAAACCATTCACCCGTGTAGCAACAAAATCCAGGCAAGCCTGAAATATCCTATCGTAAATGTCAACATAAACATTAAATCCAGTAGCAACAACAGCACGAACCATGTCAGCACCCTCAGCTTCATTAGCAGCAGCCATAATTTCATCAAACCCATCCGCCCCTACATCAACAACATTTACGAGTGTTTCAAGAAACCCTTCCCTAAGAGTCTCGACTGCACGCGTAGCGTCAAGCCTTGCAATATTTTTAACCATGTTAATTCCAGCAGCGATAATGTCAATCGTAGAAACGACAACAGCGTTCATCTCAGCAATAATTTCATTAGCCACAGAAGGGACGTCATTAACATCAGCAGCGGCTCCATCAACCACAGCATCAACATCATCAGCAACAACACCCAGATCATCGATCGCAACCGGACCATAATCAACCACAGCATCATCGTCATCGACCCTAACAGCAAAACCATGACCCACAGCGGCACTAACACCTTTAAATCTAGCCGTAACATCAACCGCAGCACCAGCGTCGACACCAATGTTATCATGACAGGACTCCTTCACTGCAGACAATCCATTCTCTATGACTAGCCTCTTCAAGTCCAGTTTCTTTGTTCCCTCGAAGGACGCTGTATTGTTCTGCTCTCTCAGTTCTTGGTCGACTGATTTAAGGATTCCGCATCCTGGACCTTGATATCTTTTAAACATGGCAAATTTATTCCAAAAGGAATTAGATCCTTTAAATTCCTGGGTAACATTTGTAACCTCTTTTTCTTCCCGTTTTCCATCTTTTTGTGTCTTCTCGCTCTCCAAAACTGAAATTATTACAAAATAACCTGATAACGGCCGTGATCTTCAATATCTATTTTTTCGTAAATAGATTTGTCTGTATTCTTGTTCGAAACAAATACCTTTAATACCGCGCTCATCTAAAACACCTGACAGAGAAGCCCATTGTTCGTTTCCAAATAGGGGTTAACGCACGCTAATGCTGTTTCCTTTCCACCCGCCCCTTAAGTTAGCCTTCGTCAAGTTTCCAGGCGTCTCTTGTTCGTTCACGCGCGCCCAATTTACGCTTCGTCGTGCGCGCGCGTTTAACGTACGACTTTTTGAACATGACCATATTAATAGCAAATTTCTAAAGAGATTAAATATGCAGACAATCACGAGGTTTAAGAGACAGAGGCAATCGATCGCCCTCGCGAGTTTCAAGCAGTTCCATCTTATTAGTGATACGTTTTTAGCTCGCTACGTTGACATCTCGGAAATTTTCACGTCACGTATCTTAGCAACTAAAGATAAATAAACAAAGAAGTAAATAAATTTTTATCAAAGAGCAGTCCATTCTTCAACGCCGTTTTTTTTAATATTTTACCGCATCGCTGTCTATTACGAATGCAGCGCGCCACTAAAAACGCCAATTCTTCAATTGAAGACCGAAGTAATTACGCAAATAAAAAGAATTCTTACCTTGATTTCCGAATGTAATAGGGAACTTGTAAACCTTTTTTCTGGGAATAAAACCCACAGTGAGGACAGTCAAGGCAGTAGCGAAAATCTGGTGAAAGCCGCCTGGCCGTTCCTCGTATTCTTTCTTCCTTCTATGCCGAATATCAATAATTCGGTCAAGTTTTACCTAAAATGAGAAGAACAGGATTTACCCACGCACGGACCGAACAAAGCATCATAAACTGTAACCTCTCAAAAGAAAACACTTATCTATAAAAAAAAAAAGCAGAATTCACACCAACCATTTCGGGGAAGTTTTCGGTGCGCTCTAACATACGAGCAAAGTAATTCTCAACCTTTTTTGCTCACGATAACTCATTAACTGTTCAGCTGTAAGCTGGAGCGCAATCTCTTACAAACTTGCACACTCGAGCAAGAAAAGTGATCTCTGCTTTTATGACGTTTGCATTTATTTCGGCGCGCTCTGTTCGTTCGAATTTTTGCACATGATGTAATCACCGTAACCTATCGAAACAGCAGCTGTCGATTATCTCTTAAATTCAATTTATTTCACTTGAACACTTTTAAAAATTAGGAAACACTCTTATCATCTTAAACGTGCTATCAAAAACCGATTAAAGGGAACCCAAAACATTACTTCAGTAAGTAAACCATCTTTCCTTGAAGCCTGTTACCTCGGAATTTTGGCTCTTTCAGATATCGGCTCTCAGAATTCATCGCATCTTTTAGCCTGACTCCATCTCCAACAGTGAGCAGCACAGAAGAACAGGTACAGAACCCATCACCCAGAAGGTCCAGAGAAGAAGATGGCGATGGATCGGCCATAAGCTCCGAATGCCACCATCAGCCCTGCCCCGAGTCGCCCTCTAATGGGTTCCCGACGGCCGACGAAAGAGAGGCTGTTGAAAAATAACTTGGAGGAGAACCATACAGGGGAAAATGAGGTACAGAGGCTGGATATGGGGGCCGCTTGACCGACGAGCAACCGACAGAAATTAATGGCGTTCTCTTTCCGAAGCCTTATGTGCATAGACGCATGAAGAGAACTAGCTAACTTTTACAGAGCGTTGCAACGTCATAAGTGGCGGCTGTTCCAAGTAATTTAGATTTCTCGAAGAATGTGTTTTTGCAGTAGAGGAAGTGCGCATATTCTGCTGTGTGAAACGAACATTTTGACGGTGTAGACTTGGGAAAGTAAAGACAAAACTAAATTTTTCGGAATTAATTAAATTCGTTATCAGACTTTGAGACAGAAATACTGAAAAATAGAAGGCCACATGTACAGATTTAATTAATCTCGATCGATCATTTATTTGTTGGAAAGAAAATTGAATTAAACTCAACAGAATTTAGTGCGCAAATCGAAGAATTCCTCAACCTTCTAATTAAAAGGAATTTGTCAGCAACTTCAATTTAATAATTCTAGACTTTATTTCAAATTTTCAGAGCAAAGGTCTAAATATCAAAGACACATATTCAACCATAAATTCTCTTTAGAGGTTTCAGCATTTAAATTTTAAAAGATGCTACAATGGCGTTCCGAAGAATCAGCACACATCCAGCCATGGTCGAGAAAACAGTAAGGGCTATGATAGGCAAACTGTGTTCCATTTGTCCAATGGGGACCTGTAGAACAAGGCTCGTGCTGGACTGTGACTGATCCTGAAGAGAAAGAAGGGAATTAGACGGTGCAGGTATACTTTACTAGGGGGAGAGAAAAAAAAAGAACTAAATCATTCCATGTTTCAGTTTCATTCACCAAACACGACGATTTTGACATGGCTGAATTGAACAGTAAACAGAATGGCCTTTTCTACTGATCAACTGCTTTTGACTTTACGTGTTTGGAAATCGAAATTTGTTCACAGCCTGTGTCAGTTCACCCTCTATCCAACCTAAAGGGAGGTAATTCACACGAGAATACAAGACTGTGGGACAGCCTCTGTTAGTTCAACCTTCACCCAACCAGAAAAGGCCTTAATCACGAGAGGATGCAAGATGAAAGACTGCCTCTAAGAAGAAGGGATTTCAACTTGAGAATGCCAGGATGTGTGATGCCTTTAACTAACGTAGGGATAGATATTGTAGATAAAAACCTTTCATTCTCTGCAACAATACCTTGCTCATTGATTTTAGTACAATCCAGTCACAGGTTGATAGTCGTTTTGCACCACAAGGAGCTTGTATCAAGTCACTTTCACAGCGACTAGGTGGAATGGCAACTCCTGTACGCAAAACAAAAGGAGAGATATCAAACAATAATTTAAAAGGACGTATATTTGCAAGAAAAAAGGGCTTCAGCCGACTGAGAACAAAAAAATTCCCGAGGACAAAACTTTCAGCGTCTAAACCCTTAGATGATATCACACCTCACAATCATCCCCCAGTTAATGGCCCTTTGATATGATAACTGAGTCGACAACTTGATATAAGTATGGTTACTCAGACGATAATAGATTTGCGCATGTTCTCACCTGCTGAAAGGTTTGTAGTACTCTTTAAAGCACACATTTTGAGAATGACTATAACGAAATTACATATTGACGATTTTGGAGATGGAGAACAAAAGAAAATGAATTATGTTGCTCAGAACCACCAGTCCGCGAGGATCTTTCCTTTTTACGGACTGAGCTCTTGGCTCTTTGGGTCTGAGTTTTCGTCACATCCCTCGGAACACAACAAGTTTCAAAGAGGACTTCATTATTTTCGCTGGAAGACCCGTGTTCCTCCGCCCGCAGGAATTTTTGAGACAAGTCAGGGAGAGGTTTGCGGTGAGTCTGGCACTAATATCACTGCAGGTCGCGCGTTTTTCCGCGCGAGGGAAAAGTCTGGCATTGCTAAACCCCTTGTAGATCTCTCGCAGGTTCGCGCAGCCCAAGGCCTCCGGTTACGCTGTATTGACCACACCACATAAAATTGCGAATCGACCGCTTTCAAGGACCCTAACACCGCAAGAAATAGAACGTTCCTATCTAGTTTTCGACCGAAAGTGGAACTGAGATGTAAAGAATCCCCACTTTCTCTTAAAACACGGCAACATCAGAGGAACTCCTTGTTTATGTAAGGCTTAAGGTTGTTCCAATGGTGACGTCACCCTCGTCCCCAGGGCTCTCTCTTTTCACGGAACCCGGAAACAGGTTGTTGTGTACTCTTCACTTACTCTCGGTTTGAAACAGTCTCATGCTCGCTTGGAGCATGGAAAATACAGCTAATTAAGACGACTTATAAGCTGACACATTTCAAACCCCCCTTATTTAACAAGGAAACATCATTACTTGTGCAGACATGTCAGAAGCCTGATCGTGATGTCCGAGCAGAGCGGTATGTCAGATGTTCCAGCAGAAACTAATGATCTTTGTTTATCAGGTATATTTGGAAAGATCATTTGTTGTGTTTTTGGCGCTACCGTGCATGTAAAAAATTCATAGGCGTTACTAATGGTACAGAAAAATCTTCGAAACTTCACTCCGGGCTTGGGGTAATGTGATGTTGATGAGGACCTTGTTAACACAATGGATGCAGCATGGCTCGCGATCACGTTTGCTGGAATTATAATTTCTTAATTTAAGTTAGCTTAAACTTTTAACGCTGAGGAACATAGACGCTGCAACCCCTGAAAGATTATAAAAAAGGTATATGGGTATTCAATAAGAATTGATGAAGGTTTCGTTGTTTATTGCCAGGGCTGAAATGTGTTTTATTCGTTCGTATTATCAGCAAACCAGACGAATTGTGAGGGAAAAAAAGTGTTTACAAGACAAAATCGACTTTCTAATGATCTTCCAGAGTTTTTTTCGCTTGGCATGGAAAAGTACCAAAATTTTTTTAAGGTTAACCTTTCTTGAAAGCTGTAATCAACATTGAAATCCACCCTATCACCACACTTGATCTCTCTCTGACTCTGCAAATCCCACACCAATTTAACGTTTCCTAAACTTTGTTATTTGCAGTGCCATTTGTAGTAGAGGAATGGGATGAGAAAGCTAACCTCTCCCCACATCATTTGTCTTACATCATCACCATTCTTCTGCCCCAGCGACTGGTAACTTTAGAGCGAGACATTGACATAGAATCACAGCTCAAAGCATTTTGTGAAAAGAAACACATAAATAATGCAATACCCGTTGGCAGTTCAACAGAAGGCTTTAGTATTCCTTATTCTATGTCGTATGAAGTAGATTCTCATCTTGGCACTTATGTTGATGCAGATGTACTGTTTGTTGAGAATGATTTCCAGATATCCACAAATGATCCAATCCAAGATGTGGATGCCCAAGCCATATTAGAATCTGATGATGTTCATCCAGGTTATTGCAGAGTGAGGCTACTAAAGCACAGTGAGGATCGAAAAGATGTTGTGACTTGCAATGATAAAAAATACCTGAGCGGACACCGAATTCAGAACTCAGTTCTCAAGAAGATGACCAGTGGAAGATCTAGAGATGACCAAACATCCATTGGTATTCATGGTCCAGCAGTGTCAGTTGAGTATTCCACTGTCTTAAATGCTGACAATATACAAACCTATGGTGTTAGGATTCCGCTTGACATGGTTTATGCAGTTCAGGTCAAGCAGTGGCCCCCAGAGGCAACTGAATGGGTCCAAAGAGTGAAAAAAGGAAACTGGCTTGGAGATGATTTGATTGAATCCATTGTGTCAGAGGGATGCCATGTTGTGCCAGTTGCACACAAGCACAGCCTAAATCCAGACATAGAATGGAGAATTTCTTTTGCAGCTACAGAAAAAAGAATGGCAAGGAATGCTGTAACTGATGGTCAACGTCAATGTTATATCTATTTCAAAATGCTGCGGCACCTTTGTCTCAAAGATTTGGAGGTGATTTCTTCATACTGTTTGAAGACTGTGTTTTTCTATGCTTGTGAGGTTGTTCCAAAGGCCCTCTGGGAGACTCATACTGGACAGTGCTTGCTGTACCTGATTGATAGTTTGATTTGTTGTGTTCAACAAAGAAACATCCCAAGCTTTTTTGTACCAGGCAATAATCTCGTAGATAATGTGCCAGAGGAGAAATGGAAAGATGTGGAGTCAAGGCTCCTTGAAATAAGGAAAGATCCCATAACACCAATTTTGAAGTTTACAGACACAAATGCTATCAGCAATACAGAGATCCCCTTTGTTTTTCGAAAAAATGTTGCATTTGTTTTGGAAGACATGGAAAAGTTCAAAGTCCACAGAGACATTAGAAGTTCTGCATTTGATGCGTTTTTCACAACCACCTTTAGAATGAGTCTGCTGTACTTAAACCAAGGTCAACCAAAAAGTGCTGTTCAGATTTTGATGGATTCATATCCTATGCTTAACCATTTCCTTGGACCCATGCCACTTGTTTACTTTCTAAATGAAGCTGCAATCCTGATCCAAGATGGCCGGCTTTACCTTCTTTTATTTCAAGAGCTCCTTGGAATGACTGACCAACATCCTGATTTTAAGCTGCTAGAGGGAAATCTGGCTTGTGCATACCATGCAGCCTCTTACACCTATCCTGAGGAATCTTCAGAGAGAGCTGAATATCTTCAGAAGGCAGAAGAACTTGTTCTGGAAGAATTGAAATCTCAAGACCTTGGTTCTTGTGGAACTCAGGTCACATTTGCCACCATTCTGATGTCACAGAAAAGATATAAAGAAGCAATACAAATCCTTGAAACTGTTGTGAATGTAGTCAGCAAAAGTGCTCAGGAAGAAATTCAAAGTGATGTGACAGAATTTGGATTCAGCGAACAGAAAGTGCTTGATGAAGATTTGCAATTGGAAATTTCAACTCATATGAAAATAGAAGGGCCATCCTTAATCTTCACATTTTATTTTCTGGTCAGATGTTTAGTACAAGAAGATGAAGTTACAAAATTAAAGTCTATTTTTGAAGAATATCAGAAGGTGTGTGACCTGTGTGAAGATATCACTGGATATAAACTTCTTGGTTATAGCTACTATCAAGTAGGAGACAAGCACAAAGCAAAAGAAGCTTTCATGTCTGCTTTGCAGAAAATGCCAGGAAGCAAACTTCTGATATCAAACATTAAAAAATGTTCAGATTTACCCTTGGACCCTGAGAGTTACTAACATCCAATTTCTTCTTCAACATTACACCTGAGTCAAACATTAAGGTCAGGATAATAGAGGAAATGATCACATACTTAAGAAACTCTTGATTGTTAAACAAATTCTCCTTGTCAGCACTTACAAAAATGTATAGAGAACTGTATAGAGAATATGCATACTGATGTTAGGGTGTGAAGGATTGACAAAGTCTACCTCTGGTTGTTTACCTCACAAGATATGCAATCATGAAGGATGACAATTACAATTATGATGACAAATGATTTATTTACTAGTGTCTTTTTCATGGTATTTGTTAACCCTTAAACTCCCAGGGGTGATTCACAAGTAACTTCTCCCTACAATATTCATCCACTATCCAGCAAACAGGTAATGAGAATACTCAAATGTATCAGGTAGAAGTTGTCATCTTGATCTAGAACCAAATTCTTGCAACTTATTTACAAGGAAATGTGTAGCAGCTAAAGGGGAGAATTAACAATCAGATCCTGGGAGTTATAAAGGGTTAAGCACCAGACATCTGACGATTCTTTGACTGGCCACTACACCGAATTCTTTAGCAACATGTTTTATTGGTACATGAAAAATCCCCCTCTTTTTCTCTATACTATCCAAGTATTATCCTGTCTATTGCTTTATTTCCTGAAAGAAACCCTCCCTTCGTATTTGAATATAAGCACAGATTCATTAAATTAATTATACAGAATTGTCCAACAAAGCTTTGCATCTTAAGAGTTTTACATACCATTATTATATCTTCCAAGGACTTTTGGAGGTGGAAGTAACACTGTAGCAAATTTTGCATTACTAGCAGCCTCATGGTATCGTAGATGAATTGGAATGGTAATGTTTGCACTTATAATACTCACTCTATACAGAAATAAAAAATCTTGTTTTAAAGTGGTGAAAGAATATGTACACCAGGTCACAACTCTTATTCAGTCTATGATGGGAAAATATGGCAGGCATTTTTCATGGCTGAATAACTACCGAGAATGAATTTTTTGAACAAGTTTGATTTTCAGTTTTCATTCCTTCAAATTATGACAAGCACAAGGAAGAGGGGAAAAAAAAGCCAAAATGAAAGAAAAGCAATAAAAAATTGAATGTCAACTAAGATTTGTGTTATTGTTGGCATTACATTTCATTGGACTGGAATAAAGTTATGGTCTATATAAAAAGGAAAAAGATATAAACACAGAATTTTGCAGCATCCTACCCACTCAATTAGCCAACTATGCAATAAAAAACTCAGTGGTACGTTTCTTTCTAACTCAAAACTGTCTTGTTTAATTCAATCATATTGATGAAAGGACCTTCTTAATGAAAAGTAAGGGACTTACTTTGAGTTAACAGCTATCCTTGGAAATACAAACATCTCACTTGAAAAGCTGTGATGAGCCAGGGCTTCAACATTTACACTCTCTTTAAATAATACCTGATGAGTGATAAACATGTTGAAAATAGCTTTCACAGTAAGTTTTCATGTAATCAGGATGTTTCTAATTTCCTATCATCTGATTACGATGTCTTTACAACTGTCAATAAGTGTTTTTTTCTGGAAATACAAAAACTGTCTCAATAAACAAAGATTTATCACTCTCTCTTCGCAAGAACTTAATATGACCAAATGACTGATGTATGGTTTATCATTGTGCCACACAAAGCAACATGCTCATAAATTGGTAGACAACAGAAACCCATGAAGCAAATGACAGAGAGACACTTGGTAAAGTTGTAACTCTCCCTCTGGCTCACTCACAGAGACATCTCTAAGCCCATCTACGACAGAGTAAAGATACTCTGCAAGCATCATCAAGTGTATGGCATAAATATATTTTTGCTCTATAGGGCTGTTCAATTAAATATTAAGGATGGACCTTAATCAGACCCACACTAATGAAGTGCTTATCACAGAGGAAGACAACAAAATAAAAATCCGCCATTTAACACAACCTAAGTATCACTAGTAAACTTTGATCTGACCTCAGGGCCTCCAAACTCCTCTTCATTCTTGACCTGATCAGGATCAATGTAAATACCACTTGGAAATTGTTCAACCAGCAAAAGTTGACAATCCAGCAGATTGTAATGCTCACCAAAACTGCTTAAAATGTCCCATTCAATGTAGGTAATCAGATCTCTAAAAATCAAACACGTTTTTCTCACAGTTATTAGTTATCGTGGGGATTATTGAAGGCTTACATATAATAATGCTTGTAAACTAAGCATCAAATTTATTAACGTGTATCCAATTTTATAGCGTAGATTTTATTCATCAATCCGTTGAGTGAGGAGTGGGATTGAAGAATATCGACAAATTTCGGAAAAGGACTAGTTATCCTACAAAATTTCTATATTGTTCTAACATAGGAGCAAATTAGAATGACCATCCCAGCGTGTAAACTAAATAAATAAAACAGAAAAGAGTGCAAACTAACTCAGACAGACTCATAGCCACAGAAATGCTACTCTTTGCAATTTCCTTGATCCATAGAAGGATACAATCTGATATTTAAGCTGGTCATCGGTGGAGATTAGCCCAATTCGTTTTATAAACACAGCTGGCAACTTTTGACATGTGTAAGGCGGCTGTGAAAATTCTGACCTGTGAAACCCTGACTTTTGCTGCGTTCTTTCCATAACTGCCTGGTCGCAGATCTTTTCACTCGATGTATAGGATTCAAGCGATAAAAAGAAAATGAAAATAATGGACAAGAGCTTTGTTTCTAGAACAGCTCTACAACACATTTTACGAAACATTGCACATACAGGATGCTACTAAATAATTGTGAAGGAGATTCCCTGGAAATGTGCGAGGAAGCGTCGCGCATACGATTCAAAGGAAATCACCTGACCAAATCAGCAGGCTCATAAATTGCACGTGAAAGATGGCGGATCTTCGAGAACCTTTCGAACTGTGTAAAGTCTTGCAAAATGGCTCGCTTATTGGAATATCAAGACTAACTGGAGATGAAAATGTTCTCCTTACGTTTAGTGATAGAAGAGTTCTTGTTTACAATGTGAGTATGGCAACACTGAGGAGAGAAGTTGAAGAGTAAATGTCCATTGAAACTTAAAGTTGTCCTAATTCCTGTGGATGAAAATCCAAGTATTAATGTAATACTTTTTTTTTTTATCACATAGCTGCAACATCAGAAACTTATCAACAGCTGGTCCGTGGAACAAAGAGATGAAGTAACTAGTGCTGCAGTTTATAATCCTGTCGATAAAACTTTCCTGATGGCCGTAAATAAGACGGTATGACATCGAGCTACATGTGATTTTTATGTGTATACAATTTTGTAATACGATCTCAACTCACCCGCCATTTAAAAACTAAATCTAAATTTTGAAATAGACAAGGGAAGTGTTCATGCACTTAGTGAACCCTCTTCCAACGCACGTCAGGGCTCATTTAGTTAAATTTCTTTTTAATATTTGTAACTAAAAAGCACATGGCCACTATAGCCACATCCTGTCTTTGAATCACAAATCAAACGTACCGTCTTTCACAATGAGATGACCTCTCACTGCTTCTACTTTTGTACTTATATTTAGGAGATTTTCATGTGGAAAGAAACTGATTCAGATTTAAATTCATGTCAAAGAATCCAAGTAAGTTTTTTTTGTATTTGATATTTATCATATATGTATAGTATAGGTCATACAGATCCTTGGATGATTTAACACAAACTTCAAAATAATCTTGCATAACAATTGAGCTAACATGAAAACATTACAAGTCGAAAGATAACTAAGAAATAGACCTAAACCTTGTCTCTTCAAAGAGATATTTCTTGCAACTAAATAATTTGACATGTCACAACTTTATTTCACATTGACTTCAGAAACAAGACAAACCTGGAATAGTAATTTGTACTTGGAAAAAATGAAGTGTTTACCTATCATTATGATTTAGATACATTGAGGGATACCATCACAACTGGCCTCAGCAATTTAAAATTAAAGTGAATATTAACATATTTATATTTCTTTTAGTCAGAGAAGAATGTGTTTGGTCTCCATGTGTGGAACCATCTTAAAGTTGATCCCCTTGTCATGTTTGAGGATGGGTCCTCAATGTTTTTGGCTGATCTTCTTCATAACAATGAAGAAAGAAAAGCAAAAAGGAGGAAAGCCATGAAGTGTACACATGAGTAAGTTTCTTTTGATAGGGAAACTGTCAAAGTTTGGAAGACATGATAGCCTTTTGCCT